AAAAAAAAAAAAAAGTCGTTTTTAATCTCTCGTCGCGCCCCAATAACGCGCGTGTATCTTTCATCGCGACCACCATCGACTCTTTAAGAAGCGGAAGACGATACAGCGATTTGATCCGCGTATACATGCAACGGAACATTTTGAAACCTTTATAAGAAAAACCGTGCATATCTTTACAGAATTTATATGATTACGGATGTTTGAGAATCCTACTTCGATACATATTTTACAGAGAGAGAGAATAATCACTCTTATTTATTCAAAACGATTGATGCTTCAACATCACCTGTTGAAGATGCTTTTTTTTCTAGCGCATCCTACATAACAAATGAGACATACGCTCGCGCGTATGTTTTCTCAATCTCAACTTGAAATTATTTAGGTAGACGTTATCAACGCTATTTGTGCCTTATTCTATCTTTACCGTAGTATAATTCATTCAAACGCAAAACAAGAATAAAATGCACGACAAAACAAATAGCACATCGAACGCATCCTTGGTATTTCTTTTGTTTGAATTATTATATTTACGAGAGAGAGAGAGATTCGACAAGTGTCATCGGAAACATTTTAATCCCGCCCACGCAAAAACGTCATGCATGTTTAATTAATTGACGGCGCGGCGCGATAATCGTCTTATCCGCGGATTGGCGAGTTTAGCATCTGTCAGCACACTGAAAACTTTCGTTTCATTATCCTCGCGGACTCTTGGCGCGTTGCATCTTCGAGTCGAAAATTGCTATCGAATATGAAGAACGCAATTCTCTTCGTAATTACCCTTTCTGTCGCGACCTATGCCGATGGCAGAGTTTATTACCTGGAGAATCTAGATGGTACGCGAGATAACGACGCGATTTATCCGATCGTGGAACAGCAAGCTTCTCGCGATCTGGATCTGGCTTTCTCCGCGGGAGACTCCCTCGAGAACGAGAATGTCATATCTCCGACTAGAAAGGTCAGTAAACGTTCAGAAATTGGAAGCTATTCTATAATCTAAAACGAATAAAAGAATATGCTAAGGTCAGAAAGTCTCAAGTATGCGTTAAAGTTACTTAATTTTTTGTATCTTTCTTGTGATTCCCAGGATTAGAAAGGAACGTTATCGTTATTTTTTTCAATAACGACTGTGTACTTTTTTTTCTATCTGCAACGATAACGATAACGGTAACGAATTCACAATTGTTATACTTAAAATCTCTATTATCTTTATATCAATTATATCTATTCAATACATTACATTATTTTTGATTGAATAGAAATATTTTATTTTAATAAAAATTTAAATATTATAAAAAAATATTATGTACTTTTTATCTTAGATTGCATTCCAATTGCAATCGTTGTCAATACTGAAAATTTGTTATGCTTACATACACGTGTAACAAAATATGGATTGTTAACGTATAATTGTAAAATTCATTATCTTACTCTTTAACATTACAAAAAAGTAACAAATCATTTCACACTTTCTAATAATAAGTAATGGGGTAACAGCAGTATAAATGCGTTACTTTTATAAAGTGACGTAGTTCCTAACCCTGGTGATTCTTATATGTGAATTAAATCCTATATATAATTACTAAATACTTACACATATACGTACATTTAATAATTATCTTGACCAGGTATACACTCTCGTCACACCGGAAAAGCCGTATGTCGGATTGAGCAGAGACATGGATCGACCAGTCGCGTATTACAGATTATCCGGCGAACCGGCTGCCAGAAGAGGCAGCTTCGACGACGTCATTCTCATTCCGCAAGGAGGGCGGAAATTGATGAAGCTGAACGGTAACAATAAGGGCGAAGTGATCTTGGAACTTCGCGTCATAGCTAATCACGACAGTGCGCAACTCGCGCGTTAAAATTAGACTTTCATTCATCTATATATGTACATACATATACGAGGGAAACGCGCGGCGCGGCGCTTGAATTGATAAGAAACGAACGTTATGCAGTTAAATCGCATTGTTTTTATTACGTTCAACTTACAACAACGAGTACTTTCTATCGATACATATAGATACATCGGAATACTATTGTAATATTTACAGTACATATCACATGTCGAATTCCATCGGAGCTATTTCACTGATCCGATCGGATCTTTAATACGATCTTTTAATTCACGTCATGGATCCATGATCCGTATAGCTTTTGATTATTCAGAATCGAATGAGAATTGTATACAGAATTAATATCAAACCAGGGAAGACAGTTTCGTTTCTAGATAGTAGGGCAACAATTAGATGTGATATTTGAAAAATGTTGAAGACAAAAATATATCGTTTACAAATATCTTTGAACATAAACAATTTCTTTTCTATTGAGAGAGAGAAAGAAATATATTTTCGCAAAAATAATAAAACGATATTTAAAGAGAATTATATATATATATGTATAGAAATATCTTTCGAATTGTCGTACGAACATTGTCGTGCGACATATAGTAGGTTCAATCTTACTCGGATCTTATTGCACACATTCCGGCAAATCCTATCTTGCCTCTGAGGTACTATATTTTTATATTACGACGAAAGAATACCGTCATCGCGAGTGCAGTTTCGAAAGTGTTACACGAGAAAATAACGACACTATACGACTATTTTAGTGATTAAAGTGGAAGGCGCGCGCATCCCTTTGCAAATCGCGTTAATTCGTTAGGATAAGTTATTCCGTTACTTGTGACGTTTGCTCGGTCGATGAATCATCCTTCGGCTCTTTCACATAGTCCACCACTAATTCGAGACCAATCAGAGCCCGTAAATCCTTTCTCTCCTCTTCGGAATTTGTAATCGTACTGCCAGTGTCTTCTACCTTCGCAGTGCAATCCTCGCCAGCTTGAAAAACCATTACGATATTACGAATATTTACAGTTAGGTACCTTTAGTTTAGACTTTTAGAGTATTGGAACAAAAATGACAAGTGTATTGTGCTTCTAAAAATAATTAATAGCAGGTAACACTCACTATAAATTGAGATGATAAATATTTTTATCATTTTATTATTTTATTAAGTAAGTATGCTATAAAATAAATCACTGATATTATATGTATATGTATATCAAACAAAACAGACTAATCCTGCATGAATTCGAAAAAATTGACATTGTGAGTATTAACAGCATTAGCCAACAAAATTTGCAAGCTAATTGAGAAAATAATCTCGTTAATTATACAGACAATATTAATAAAACAAATAATATATGTTATCAGAACGAAAGCGATATAATAATATATATATATCTTACTTTGCTGTGTTCCCTTCGAATGGTCCTCGTTCTCTATCGACGCGTCCGTCCTAGAGGTTTTCATCTGCTGTATGTCCTGGTAAGTTTTCATCAGATGCTTGAAGATATAATTGGTACCCTGCATGTTCTCCGCGTCCGGATTCTTCGACGTCGTGGCCTCGTCGCGGGTAAGATTCAACGGGCGATTGCCGCACTCCTTCGATTGCGGCACGCTAAAGGCCGAGCAATGTTTGCTTTTGAAAGATAGCTGTCGTTCACTCGCGTGCTTGCGATCCCAAATATGGCCGGAGACGCGTAAGTCTATGAAGAAGTGTAGAGGATCGATGCCGGGGTAGGACTGCGGCATCGGATACGGCGGGTACCACAGGGGTCCAGGTAGAAAATCCGCCGGACCAGACATGCCGTTGGGCAGAGCGAAACCTTTCACGCCCTGAAGTACGCTCTCGCATCCTCTGCCCCCCGGCACCCCGGACAGGAAAGGGCCTGCTCGTGAAAAGTCCAACTTCTTCTGATCTGACAATTGCAGAGGGGACACCTCCTGACTGGGCACGATGCTACTTTTCGACCGAGTTTCGACCTCGTAACTCCTACCGTTCGCGCTGTCGAAATTACAACTCCTACCATTGCTGCGATCCAACTGCTGCGAATCCTCCGGCTTGACCTTACGCGGTTCTCCGCCAGGAAATACGTTCTCCGGCGGTTGGGCTTGCTCAAAGTGTCGCGGTCGTTCGTCGAAGAAGCTCTTACTGTGCTGTCGCGAAAACTCGGTCTTATTCTCGTCAATGGGCTTAAGGATATCGCCTCCAAAGTTTGGTTTCTGATCGAATGCCGCCGCGCCGGGTTTGTTCTCCATCGTATCCAGATAGGTATCGGGTCTCTTGCCATCGTTCTCCAAACGAGTCTCCGGCGGTACTTGAGAAGGTTGCTGCTGCGCCGCCGAGTGATAATATTTCTCCGAATGCTGGTGATAATGATGATGATGATGATGATGATGCGACCGTTCCTTCGTCGTGAGTTCGAGTGGTCTATCCCGAGCGTCTCGCCAAGATCGCTTACGGCGTCGCGGTGCATTTGGTGTGCCAACACCGCCAACACCGCCGCCGCCACCGCCGCCACCGCCACCGCCACCGCCAGTCGACGATGCCTCCGCCTTGGCTTGTACGAAGGAACGCAGCATCTCGCTGAAGAAGAAGCTGTGAGGTGTCAGTGGCACGTTGTATAGGTACGGAGGAGTGGCCGCCAGAAGACGAGAAACGAGATCTCCACCCGACAGAGAAGCCGGAGTCTTTAGAGTTGATGGATCGCCCGTGGTAGTCGTCATTTTGGCTATTCTATTTCGATAAAAGAAATGGGAAAAATCTCCAGATTAGTAATTGCATCTTTAGATTATCAGCATCGGATAGGTACTGACAATGAGATTAACTAAGGTAAATGATGATTTAGCATCGCAGATCCAATTATCTAATTCCCCCCGCCCCCCCCCCCCCTTCCATATTTTTTACTTTTACACTTTGCTATCTCAGTCACAAATTGAATAGGTCTACTTTTGCGATGCACGCGATGAATATTTATACAAGTTAATTCTGAAGAACGTAATTAAATTCTATCAGCAAACTCCATTAGTAGTCATATTTTTTATATCGTTGTTAATTCCGTTATTTCGTCATAAGCTTTAATATTATATATATATATATATATATATATATATATATATATATTCGTCTTTTTAGAATTTTGTTAACAAAATTCTTAACGAGTTGTAAAAAGACGAATTAAGATGCTTAGACGGATTCATGTTTTATTTAATTTTCTAAATGATCACACGAATATTCTGCAAACGACATGGAGTAGCAGGTTTAACGATGTAATGAGTGTGTACGAAACTCGTACAAGCACGATTCGCCGATGTGGAAGTGAGCTACTATTGTCTTGTGAAATTAATTGAATGGCTCCTAGCCTCAAGTCTAAGACCAAGGAAGAACGGAATCTATATATAGTGAGACGGGATGAACCAGCCGGATATCGCGTCATTCATTAAGGAATACTAATTTCTGTCAAGTACACGTTCGCTTTCGCCCGAGTGCAGTGTGAGGATTTCCCCCGAGTTATTGAGAATTTCTTGCGTAAATTCGTTGATGCAGACATTTCAATTGATACCGGTATCTGCTGAAAATCCTCTTCCGCAAACTTGGAATTCTTGCACTACAGTATGTCAGTATAGAATGTATAGAATGTACTCTCTCTCTCTCTCTCTCTCTCTCTCTCTCTCTCTCTCTCTCTCTCTCTCTCTCCCCCTCTCTCTCTTTCTCTCTCTGTAATCGCTCTCTACAAAGATTTATTTAAAAAATTATTTTGCCGTTCTCGTATTGTATGATATATGTTCTTGTATCATTATTGTATCATTAACCACTTTTCGTGGAATTTTATAGCAACAATGTCTATACGTAAGCGGAAAAGATAAATTGTCCTTTGAAACACAACGGATCTTGAGGAGAAATTTGGCTTTTCAATTTTATGTTCTTGCGACAAATATACTCGCGGTGTGGTGACTACAGTCGTCGAAGAAATTTTTCTTCGATAATTCGCAAAGGGCAGAGATTCCTGAAAAGATTTCAACGCGAAAAGATCGAATAGCAACGGGGCGTGGACAGCAAAGAGAGAAAGAGAGAGGGGGGGGAGACAAAGAAAGAGAGAGAAAGAGAAGATCTGTATCCGTGCGTTCACATGTAGAGAGAGAGAGAGAGAGAGAGAGAGAGAGAGAGAGAGAGAGAATGAGTGAGAGAGGGATCGGGCATTGTTTCGGTCCATTGTTTCCCAAACAAACGGCGTCCACGTTGTTTCGTCAGGAGATATTATGTTCAGCCAGACAGGCAGGACGAACGGGAAATGGACTGCTGTCAGTTTTACTCTTCGTGATAAATACCCGTTGCCGCCGCCGCCCCCGCCATAATTCCGCTCATCCGTATTGCGCGATGCATGTCAAAGTTATAACTGCGATGACAAGATTGGGTTTCTTTTTACTTATCAAAAATTCTACTCTCATAAAATCCCGAATTATAAAATTCAAGTTATTAAAATATTCTGATTATTAAAATTTTTGTTACTTTATTACTTATTGTCCTAAACAAAAATAAAATGGCGTTTTTTTTTCGGGCATTTTCGATTTCTCAAAGGGCTAACAAGGTGAAGCGTTCGCCTGGAGGAAATCAGTAAGAGGAAATCCTTGGAAGCATCGACGATTTTTTTCTCGTGCGGATACTCGTTTAAGGGAAAATGGTACCGGCTGGAGAGCTATTCCAAAGATCGTAAAGAGACTTTACTAGGGAGGGAGGGAGAGAGAGAGAGAGACGGCGCGGGCGTTATATTATCATTCCGCTGGAGGCGATCGGCGAGGCGATGGAAGACGCGTTAGACGCGTCGTCACTGTCGTCACTGTCGTCGCCGTGCAGTGGAGTCGGTGGAGACTATGAGAGAGACGATCCTGACGATCTCGATTTCACGCGGTGCGGCGCGGAGTGGCGCGGAGTGGCGCGCGAGGGAAGGCCGGTTTACGATTCATAAGACAACTCGGCGGATTGAATTAAGCTCGCTCGCGCTGCGGCAG